TGTTCACATTTGGGCATATTGAATATTCGTGCCAAGTTTGATCCAGATCCATCATTGTTTGAATCCACAGTACTCTCTAGGTGTAGGCAAACTACAACTCCCAAACTCAAGGTCAATGCCCACCAAACCCTTCTAGTATTTTCCGTTGGTCATGGGAGTTCTGTGTGCCAAGTTTGGTCCAATTCCATTGTTGGTAGAGCTCAGAATGCTCTTTGAATGTAGGTGAACTATAAATCCCATTGGCCTAGATCCAGGGAAGTCCTGCTCCCCCTCTGATTTATTCTGCCTTGGTCAGACCAGTTTGCCTGGAATGACTCTGTGTCCCATTCTGGGCACCTCTATTGAAGGGAGAGGTGGACTCTAAGCTGGAATATTGTGTCCAGAGGAAGAGGGCAACTCAAAGGATCAAGGATCTGGAGAACAGGCCCTATGAGGAGCGGCTGAAAGAGCTGAACATGTTTAGTCTGCAGGAGAGGCAGTGGAGAGGAGAGATGAGGAGGGCCAGGGATCAAGAGGGAAGGAGAAGACCTAGGGAGTGGGGAGCAAACTTGTGTTTCTGCTGCCCTGGAGACTAGGACCCCATGGAGCCATGTATTGTCGAAGGCTGCTTGAGGATGCTTGCCATAGATGCAGGCGAAACGTCAGGAGTAAATGCCTCTAGAACCCGGAAAAACCTACAACAACCCAATGGAACCATGGCTTCAAACAACAGGAAAGAAAGGAGGTTCCACCTGAACACGTGGAAGAACTTCCTGACAAGGTTGTTGTAGGTATTTTGGGCTCTATGGTCATGTTCTAGAAGCATTCTCTCCTGACGTTTCACCTGCATCTATGGCAAGCATCCTCAGAGGTTGTGAGGTCTTCTTGACAGTGATAGAGAGCTGTTCAGCAGTGGAACTCTCTGCCCCGGAGTGTGGTGGAAGCCCCTTCTTTGGAGACTTTGAAGCAGAAACTGGATGGCCATCTGTTGTCGGGGCTTTGGTTGCCATTTTCCTGCTTCTTGGCAGAATGAGGTTGGACTTGATGGCCCATGAGGTCTCTTCATAGAATCCTAGAAGAGTTGGAAGAGACCTGGTGGGCCACCATCCAGTCCAATCCCCTTCTGCCAAGAAGCAAGAAAATTGCCTTCAAAGCAGCCCTGGCAGAAGGCCATCCAGCCTCTGCTTCAAAGCCTCCAAAGAAGGAGCCTCCACCACACACCAGGACAGAGAGTTCCACTGCTGGACTGCTCTCTCTCACCTCATGTTCAGATGGAATTTCATTTCTTGTAGTTTGAAAACATTGAAACCATCTAAGATATCTCAAGGTATCTCCAACTAATGGTCATCTAAAACATTTTAAGGTATCTCCAACTTATGTTCATCTAAAACATCTCAAGGTATCTCTAATTTAAGTTCATCTAAAACATCTCAAGGTATCTCCAACTTATAGTCATCTAAAACATCTCAAGGCACCTCTAATTTATGGTCATCTAAAACATCTCAAGGTATCTCCAACTTACGTTCATCTAAAACATCTCAAGGTATCTCCAACTTATGGACATCTAAAACATCTCAAGGTATCTCCAACTTTTAGTCATCTAAAACATCTCAAGGTATCTCCAATGTATGGCCCTCTAAAACATCTCAAGGTATCTCCAACTTTTAGTCATCTAAAACATCTCAAGGTATCTCCAATTTATGGCCCTCTAAAACATCTCAAGGTATCTCTGAATACCTGAATATCTCTGAAGGGCTAGAAGGCATGATCATCAAGTTTGCAGACGACACCAAATTGGGAGGGATAGCCAATAGTCCAG